ATTACAGGCCTCTCTCATCTTTTTAAGTGGGAGAACTTGCACAATTGGTGGCTGACTAAATACTTTTTTGCCCCACTGTACAAGAAATGTTGAATGATAAATACTAAAGGTATATTTGTCTTTCTCAGCCCAGCCCATCTGTGCTGCTCTGCATATGCTGTTGTTTCCCTTTCTCATTAAACAGTCTTCCTGTGAGTGATGTCAGAGTCAAGCTTGACTCTGAGTGACTTCATAAACACGTTCCCCCATGCTTTTCTTGGAGAAAAGAGGGAGGTGTTGACCTCCAAATCGACTTGAGTACCACCCCAGAGAGACTAATAGAAATAGAAGCTAAGAAACTGTGCTGGAAATCAGGATCTCCGATAGGATTTTTGGGTTAGGGTGGCTTGTGGACATGGTGGGATTGGGGGTGGGGGCCTTGAGTGGGTCTTGAGTTCAAGTTTGTTCCTGTTTTCTTCTTTTTTTTCTGGTCCAGTTGGAGGACTTTTATTTAAGAAAAACATCTTTAAAAAATCAGTGGCAACAGCCAGCAAACGGGGCACTCCTTGTGTCATGGATTAAGGAGGCCTTGTCTCCCAGAGATGTCCACGGCTCCCAGCAGGACGTCCTGAGAAAGTGGAAAGGAGATTCTGCCCAGACTTTGACACCCAGCCTCCTGTTTGGTGGCCTGGCAATTTTATCCCAGGATAAATTCGGGCTTCCCTAAATTATGGAGCGAAAGCTCCCCTGCTTTCCTCCCCCCCGCCCCCCCTTTCGGTTTCCTTCCCCGGCGGCTGGTAGCGCAAGCGAGAGGATTAAGGGATTCCCCCCCCACCCCTTCTGTGCCAATTCTGAAGCCAGGCGACACGCGCATCTGAACCGTTTCCTGGTGGGCGTTCCGCTGGAAGAGGGAAAACCAAGCCAACCCCAAACAACGCCTCCCTCCTCCTCCTCCTCCTCCTCCTCGCCCCGCGAAGCACCTGTTTCTGCAACTCAGCGCTGCAAAGAGCCGGGTCAGTCGCTCTCCCCAGAAAATGACCGCCGCCTTCCTTCGGGTGGGCCCTGCCTTTAGACTCCAAGATGGATGATAACGAGGAGAAGGAGGAAGAAGAAGAAAGAGAGGAGGAGAAGAAGAACAGACCGAGCGCTGAAATGAACCAGCGCATGCCCCGGGCCTGTGTTTGTCAACGTATCCCCGGTTCGCCGCTCCGCCAAGGGGGGGAGGGAAGGAGGAAGGGGCTGGGAATGAATGGCCAACAAAAGAGGCGGCTGCGGGCGCGAGTCGGGGGGCGCACGAGCCCTCCGCTCCCCTTTTCGCCCTCCTGTCTTCGGCCCTATTATTAGGTATGCAAGTCACTGACATCTGCCGAGCGCAGGAGAAAGGCGGGAGAAGCGCCGGTACAGCGGGACTCAAGGCGGACGGGGGAGGGGGCACGCCAGCAGAGAGTGACAGCCCGTGCGTCACGCCGTTCGCCAACCGGCAGACCCGCGCGGCTCTCTGAGCCCCCCCCCTGCCTGCTGCGCGTCCCCCGGCCCGGCCCGGCCCGGCCCGG